CAAAGCAGTTGGCATAATACGTCGCCGTGGCGCTCCAGTCCGAAAACACGCCGAGAACGCCCACATCCTGGGCCAGCACATGCAACAGCTTAAACACATCGCCCTCGCTCTTGGTGACATTGGCAACCGTCGTGTAGTAGTACCCGCCGTGCGACTTATCCGCCAGCCACCCGCTCCTCTCCAAACTCCAAGTGATGAGCTTCAACCCCAGGCGCTTCGCCTCGACGGCATACGCGCTGGGCACTATGGAGCCGTCCTTGACCGTGACGAGGTAGGGCAGCGGGGGCGCCATAATCTTTACTCCGGCATCGCGGTACTTTGTCAGGTTCCCGACGCTGTACTCAAAGGGCGCAGAGTCGGCGCTCTCGTCGAGCAGCACGGCCTGCTTGGCAAAGGCGGGCTCGGCCTTGAGCCAGTAGAGCACGTCGGCGTAGAGGAAGGACTGGGGCCAGACGCGCTCGGGGGCGATTTTGGCCGCCTTGAACTCGTCGATCATTTGTTGGGCAAAGGCGGCCTGGGTGTAGTTGCTGCCAGCCGGGAAGGGCATGGACACCTCGGGGGTCTTGAGCTCGGGGGTGAACTGCAGACCGAGGCCGTCGACGAGAGAGATGAACTCGCGCAGCGTCAGGATGGGCTCGCATGTCTTTGCGTACAGGTCTGTGCGGTAGAGGGGCGTGCCGTCGAGGTAGGCGGCGGGAGTGGTGGCGTTGGGATTCGAGCCGTCCATCTTGCTGCACAGCGTCTTGAGCTCGGCGAGGGTGAAGTCGGAGGTGCAGCACTTGGCACTCGCCGCGGTGCCGTTTGCGGCGGGCTTGAAGGGCGTCGTGCACTTGGCGTTGAGGGCGGGGATGGTGACGACCTTGGTGGTCGTGTGGAGGTCGCACTGGGAGTGACGGCACACCAGGGACTTGTCCTTTGAGAAGGTGACGTCGCACTCTTGGATGCCGGCGCCCATTCGCGTCTGTGGAAGAGGTGTCAGTGCTGCTCATGCTGGGGCGAACCATGGTCAACTCACACCAGCCATGATGGACCCATGGGTCTCCTCGGGAAACTGGAGCGTTCCGCCACCACGGTGGGAAATGCTCCAGGCCGAGGGCTTCATCTTCATCTCGGTGCATGACTCGAGCTTCTCCTTGAGGGGCCCATCTTCCAGCTGGTCGATCAGCCAGAAGGGACGGGGACCGAGCTGGATGTTCTTGATGGGCTTTGGAGATGTCCCGGCGCAATCGCGCTTTCGGAACTCGGGCGCACCAAGAGCTGGGAGCGCAAGCGCCAAGCTGAACAGGGCTGTCGAGAGCATGATGGCGATGGCGAGGTTGTCGAGATCAGGAACGAGGGCAGCGAAAGGGAAGGGGGGAAGGAGCACTGGTGGTCGCAAAGCTCGGTGTGCGATCCTCGACGGGCCAGGTCCAGGTCCAGGGCAGGAACCGGCGATCTGCGAATTTAAGATAAACTTTTCCCCTCGAGTAGCATACCATTTTCGCAACCGCGTGTGGTCCCGTCACCAAGGTTGTGGATCTGTGACTTCAATCCTCCGGGAGGGGGGGTAGAATGGATCACATCCTTTACATCAGCGCTGTCAGCCAGATTCTGTGGAAACAGGCATGGTGCCTTCCCACCACCCGCTGGGAAACGTGCCTTGTTCGCGCAGAACATCGACACCGAGACGCGGGGAAAGAGACTCACTGTCCTGACGATGGCCGTATCACGAGGTAGCATCATTGGATGCAACGTCCCGGATTGCTCGCTCAAGGTCCGGCCGAAGGTCAAAGGATAAGCCCTTCCCGCGTGGGGTCAACGGTATCAGGGCGGGGGACGTCGACGGATGCCACGGAGACGAGGCAGCGTGTGCGGATCGATCACGGCCATTGGCGAATTGACCCGTCATGGTCTTGAGCTCCCAGTTCACCCTTCCCATCTTGGCACATTTGTTCAATACCACCTCCCCGTCTCGCCTTAGCATGCCCCGATTCCATACTGCTCGTTGAATTGGCCGCGATGATGTTCTATATCAGACCCGTCCAGCCTCCAGATTGTCGTTACTTGTCACAAGCAAGAACAGGATCGTAGAGTGTTGACTTTGTTGATGCCCCTGCGAAAAATGGCGGGGTTGATCCCACCAAGCCACTTCCCCTCAGTCCGTGCCCAATTTCCTCAATTTTGGGGACTCGCGTCGTTCCTTCTAGACATGAAAACAGCATCGTCGCCATAGTTCCGCAGCTTCTCCCTCAGCGCATCCTCGACCTCCTCCTCGCGAAACCCGAAGCGACGCCAGAACGGTCCTGTACCGTACACCGACACGAGACACGTCGATGCGAACCGACTACCCACGTCGAGAAGCTTCCGAATCCCCTCCGTCGCGTGTCCCTGGCCACGCAGCTCCGGCAGGATGGCAACATCGTGGATGTAGTACTGATCCGCATCCGTCGGGATCTCGCCGAGGAGACTGTCGAGCGCCGGCGGCTGCGCATGGCGGATCGGATGCGACACGGCGTAGCCCAACACCCTTGAGCCCTGGGAGAGGATGAGGCATCCTTCTGGGAAGAGCCTGATGCGCTCCGAAAAGACAAAGTCGCCCTCTGGGAGATTAGGGTGGATCTGGTCGGCAACTTGGGCAACCTGCGGGATATCGTCCGCTATCATCGCGCGCCAGGATGCCATGTTACGACGCGGGCGGTAATTGTTTTGACGCAGATGCAAAAAAGCTGAAGTTTGGGTAGGTAATGTTCAGCCCAGCGTTTTTTTCAGTGGTTGGAAGCCCCTGGTTCGCGATGAAGAAGCGGGCGAGGCCAGGCTGCAACTAGGTTGGAGAAATCCCCTCTCCAACGAAAAAGACGCAAAGTGGGGTCAAAGTTGGAGAAACGGCACCCATTCATTCCCACCATTGTCCATGGCCATTTTCTGCCTTTTCGAAGGGTCTACGGATATTAACCGCCTTTTGCCTTCTGGATCCCCAACAGTTGCCGCGTCCGAGCTGCATCCTTTTCGACAATCTCCTCCAACGCCTCCCTCGCCCACTCCAGCTCGCTGTAATCCAAACTCCCAAACCGCACCCACTCGTTCAACGCCATGCGCGCGTAGCGCAGCGCTTCCGGCAAATCCCCCTTGAGTGAGTACAGCTCGGCCAGGATGTCGTGATACTCAGGCAAGAGGGGCGGAAGGTCCGCCCGCTCGGACACCTGAAGGATGTCTTGGGCGATGGTGATGGCGTCCTTGTAGAACTTGTCTCTCTTTGCGGCCTGCAGGGTCTCCTTCCATTCCTTCATCAGCCGCCGCTTGTTCTCCGCCTCACCAATGTCATAGTCATTGGCGCGGCAGAGAGAACAGCTGCACTCAATACCCCAGTTCGCCTCGAGAAAGTGCCGGCGCTCGTCGTGCTTCATCTCCAGCGGCACGTCTCATCTGGTGTCAGCGTCCTCTGCCAGGAAGAACTGGACCGGTGAGGACTTACAGCTCATCGTAATCTCCTCTCCCTCTTCAATCGCCCGAAAAGACACGACTTCCATGGCTAGCCTGTCCTGGGAGAACCGATAATAGGCACTGTAAGGGTCAGCCGTCAGGTACTGTGCATCTCTCGGGCTCGACTCATACTCACTTTGGCCTGCAAGAGTGATTGATCCGCTGAATCACTAGTCAGCACCTCTCCCTCGGCAGATCCAACACTCAGCCACGTACCGCAACCTTGACAAAAACTCCGACAAACCCCTCTTCCTCGCCCAGCTCGACACCGTTCGAGTTCGTCCCCACGATCTGGTCAACCAGGTGCTTCTCGGCGCCCCTCCGCAGACCATACACGGCCTCCTTCGTCTCCTCCGGCAGCTGGTTGAACGCGGCCCTCATCAACCTCCGCCGATGGTGCGGCTTCGTCACCATGATGAAACCCGTGCTGATGAGCACGGACGGGAAATCCACCATGACAATCTCACCCCTCTTGACCTTCCGCGCCGCGACCACTCCCTTGCCCTTCCCGGGAACGTCGACGACGCGGTACGCCGGCTTGCCAGCCTGCCTCTTGACCGCCGCCGGCGGATCCGGCCTGTCGATAAAGGCGCCCTGGGCGATGAGATCGGCCGTGATGGACGCGGGGCCGATGATGCTGATGCCGTGCCCGTTGCGGAACTCGGCAGAGGTGAAGAGGCAGTCGTGGCGCGTGCCGTTAGGTTTGAGGGATTCCGGGCCCAGGCACCGGGGCGGGTAGGTCCACTGGATCGTGGTGGACTCCAGCTCGGGTATGACGCCGATGAGGCCGGGGAGGGGGCATGCTGTGATGGGGTTCTTTGCCAGGGGTCCTGGGGGGGCGTTGGGGCACTGCGTGAAGAAGGACGTTGTGGATGCGAGGGAGGGAGATGTCATGAGCAATGCGAGAAGTGTTAGGAGCAGCGGCGTGAAGCCGACGTGTTGGTCCGGCCGCGCCATGTTGGTGAAGCTCGGATTTGGTGACACTCAGGTGCAGTTGCTTTGGTGACCTGAGATTCTGTCTTGAAATATGACGTGGTGAGAGCCAAAGAGAAATCTGGCCATAAACCGCCGGCATATGAGTTCCGTGGTCCGCCAAGCTAGGTTACAGGCTACCCAAACAGCGCGCTTGTCACTATACCCGGCGGGTAAAAGTCGTGTTGAAACAGCCAGACGTCACAACCAAAGCCACTTTGGGCAATTCGGGGATTTACAGCAAGACCTGCGCTGGGTTCCATTGGTGCGCCAAAATGGGCGGGACATTTCGTGTGGTTGTTGAAGATGGAGTTTGGTCGTCGTCCCGCACTACCAAACAAAACATTGGGAATAGGGGCTTTCGCTAACAGGAGAGATAGGGGTAACAGATGTGGGGCTTGGACCGGACGTCGAGTCGCTACAACCAACGTCAAGGACATCAGACAGGAAGTTGTCAAAAGATAAACGTACCTTCCCTTAATAGCCGAGACCTCATGCCCAGCAAAAAAACTCCGGCACATTAGAGATAAACATGAACGAGCCCTAAAAATATAAAATAACGCGCACAACGATCCACCCAGGGGTGAACCTAGAACCTCCTGATTGATACAAATCGTAGTCAGACGCTCTGCCATTGAGCCAGTGGATCAGCTGATTCTGAATGGGTCAATGAGCGGGGCATACAAAAGGGAAATTCTGGTCTTGGGTGCGACTGTCACTCATCATGTACTGTAGGATTCGTCCTAAGCAAAGGCACGGTTGCCCCCTTGCCCCCTTGGGCTGTTCACCCACCTGGATGTTTCCAAGTTGCAAGTGGCCATGTTTGTGCAGAATGCGAGACAAGAGCAAGGAATTCCGCCAATTTTGATTATCGATGCTTCAATGATACCTCGTAATTAAACCTAGGGCGCTACATATCTGCCTGAGAATATAGTCTGCAGGACCATGCCCGTCAACTCCAACCAACTTATAGAAACGCAAAAATGGAGGTAAGCAGCAGCACGCTGCCCAGAGTGTCCCAGCTGCTTCTCATTACCCCAGCTGCAGATTTCCTGCCCTCCTCTGATGTGCCATTCGCAGTTCGGCTGTTCTCCCCGGAAGCATTGGGAGCCACCAAAGCCAACTTGGCCGGGTCGATGCTGTCATTAAGACAGACTGCATTCTTGGACCAGTTGATGCGGAGCTAACCCTTTTGCGTTTCGTTTTGGGAGACGTAATTGGCAGAGATCTCTCCGCACATCTCGCAGCCATTCTTAAGGATCAAGGTCTTTGTGAGCCGGCGAATTTCTCTCCGAGGTTGAGCCCACCTTGGGGGACGTCCGCCACGAAGAGACAGAGAGCTATCGGTGAAGTCAGCACGGCGATCCTCTCGGTTGCGGAAGAGGATCGATTACCTTTATCGTACTTGATCTCTGGTATCTGGATCTCAAGCAAACCAAGACCGATGCCCGCGCCGTTCAGAGCAAACGAAGTCTCCTGGAAGAGGCACGTCACGTGAGAACCGTTGCGGAAAAAGGTCCCGTTGGAGAGGGTCGACTCGGCAATGATTTCGTACAGAATCTGACTGGCAGTGTGACCCTTGAGGCCCTTGATGCTGACCATGTCGCACTCGGTACGAAAGCCGTTGACCAAATTTGAGCCCGGTGAGGGACACATGTGGCTGGGCTTTTGGTCTGCTAGGACGGGCTGGATGGCAAGGCCAGCTATCGTAGCCACGAGGGCAACAAACTTGTGGTATCCGACCATGGTGACAGTAGACCGGCGAGGCGAGGCTACTTGAAATTGAGGGAGGGAAAGTGCAGCCAGAGATGAATCTCAATGAATCGGTTGCTGGTCGTTCAATTGTAGTTCCACTGGGGACCCCATTCAATTTGTACCCGAATCATGATGGAGAGACTATCACGAAGCCCGAGCTCCAATGGGTTGGAAGCTGACACGCCGAAAGCCGCCCTCGTACTCCCACTCGACAGATACATCTACCCAGAGCGCAACACTCACTGCTGAGGTGATAGTGGCGGGACCGGCCTTTTTCTTTCATCTTCCTGTACTGTGCCTTGCCCCGACGGCTTGCAGTTTCTCTGCTTGTCCGAGTCCGCTGAGGCTCTGCGCTTGCGAGTTGGAATCATTCCCGGGCTCCAGCACATCGTCTCTGACAAGGGGCAGGTCTCTTCTAGCTTTGAACCGAGTGAATCAAAGTTCTGCATGCTTGGGCTTTTGTGGCGTCACCGCCTCGGAGCTAAAATCGTGGTCCCTTTGAGGAGGTTTAGGGGGCTGGGAGCCTTGCTGTTCCTTTTTCACAGTTGGGGTCCCGGCAGGCGTGCAGTTTGTGGATGAACGCAAGGCGAGGAAAACGAATGGCCTCCGGGGGAAAGCAAGCCGAGCTGAGGAGGGATCCAAGTTGAGTTGGAGGGCCGCCCGTTGGAGCATCTGCAAGATACTTTTCCCCAGCTCGACTCAGAGTAGGTGTGGCGGCAACGGGGAGCCACTGTCGCTTGGTCCGGAGCCGGTTCTTGCTCGACATCCCGCTTGTCGTCACTGGCCCAGGTGCTGCGACACTGGGCGCTTTGGTGGTACGCTGTGTGCTTTGCTCAAATCCTGGGCGGTAAGGTCGGTGTACCAAAACGTGTGCGGGCTGCCATCTCGGTGCTAGGCTCGAAGTGTGCTCAGAATCATTGATGTCAGGTGTGCTTAACGAATCAATGGACGACCTGGAGCAATTACAACAAGCCGATGGCATCATTTCTTAAGCCTAGAGAAAGCTATTATGATTGCTGGTACTTCCGGAGAGTCGTTGTGTGCTTCACCACTAACCTCATCAACCTAATAGCAAAAAAAAAAAGCGCTTAGTAGTACCGATACCCCGGCATCCCCCCAGAACTCGAGCCCCCCACGGGGTAGGTGGGGAGCGGCACCCCCCCGTCGGGCCCCTGAGGTTGGGGAGGAGGCATGAAAAAGGACGGGTTGATCAACTTGTCAAAATCGTCATCCCAATTGAAGACGGGATTGCCGTATACATCAAACTGCTGCAGCTGCTGAGTTTGGTCGACCCCCAGGATACCATCAAAGTCGAAAATGTCCTCAACATCAAACCCGAGAGGAACGCTTCCCTCTGCGTTGGTGCCAGGCGTCGAGTCAGACTCGGGGGTGCGGTGCGACATGGTCGGCGTGAGACCGGGCTCGCTGCCCGTGCCCCCTCCAGAAGGTTCGTTGGATGGCGGGCCGTACTCGCTCAGCGGAGTCTGAGTCTGCTTATAGAGGTTCAGGAGTCGGGGTTGCAGCTTTACCACGATCTCCGCGACTCTCCGGCGGAGGGGCTCTTCGACGTCCTGAAATTCCTTTTCAAACAGCGTCTCCAGTTCCCGGCGCACTAGCGTGGGCATCTCTCGTTGAACAAATGTCGCATAGTCCTCCAGCTCTCCCGACCCGGACGGGCCGCCGGCCTCTCCCTCGTAGTCCGACGCTTCGTAGACTGGACATGTCAGCGGATGATGGGTGATAAACAGGGAGAATCACATACATGGGGACGGAATAGATTGCACGTCGTCGTAAGGAAAGAGAATCATGTAGATCTCGCGCCACTTGTCTTCGTCGGTGGTGTCGGCCTGCGCCTTCTTCCGACTTCGAAGTCTCTTTTCCTGGTCTTTTGTGAATCCCTCAACCAATGCTTGGTTCTTGCGGGTCTCGCACGGGGGGTCTTGCTGGAGGTGCGAATTGAGAAGCTCGTCCGTTTTGAAGACCTCCCAGCACCGTACACACTGAATAGGAAGGGCATGTCGTCGGTAGAGGTGAGTCCTGTCACGGTCAGAAAATGCAAAGCAACAGAGAGAAGGGATGCCTACTTGACTCGGTGGACCTCGTCCCAGCCGGGACCCGGGCACGAAGTCCACTTGCTGTACTTTTTCTTGTTGCGCTTGAAGTAGGGACAGGCAAATTTCCGCTGCCCCCCCGAGATGACGTTGGCATTGTCACTCTTTCTTGCCTTCTTCCGGCGTCCGTCATGATCGCTCGCAATCACGTCGTCCACTCCTAGGTGGCTAACTCTAGACCTCCGGCGGCGACCATCTTGCTGTTCCCCATCATCGGCATCGGCCAGGTCTGACGGTGGGCTTGTCGACGCGTGGTCTGGCGGGGTGAATTCTTGCAAAGCCACATTCCTGTGCATGTGAATGTGAGGTTGCGCGAAGCCAGGAAGGCCCAGGCCGCGAAAACCACCGATTGCGCCGATATCTTGTGTAGGAGCTGGACTGGTTTGACTTTCGGGCTGGTTATCTTGAGGTGGCATACCTTGGCCGGACGAATGCAGTCCTTGACTGGGTTGATCTGTGGATCCAAGGGCGGCGAAGCCGTAGCCGGATGCCGAACCTGTTGTCGAGGGAGGCTGCCACGTGCTATGCGAGGCATGGGGTGTTCTCCGTGACGACAGAGGGGCAGTGGACATGGAGGTATGAACGAGGCCACGCTGCGACGGCATGGGTGGGACTTGGGCTGACCGTGTGTGGGCGTGTGCCGCTGGCCCAAATGGCGTAGTTGCGGACCCGAACAATGGTACGCCGCGGGCAGATGCTGGGGGTGCCATGGCGGTGTGTCGTGTATACATGTCTTGCAACTGGTCCCGTAGATGATCACGTTCCTCCCCGACAACCGGCGGTAAGTGGGCTGGCACATCTTGGGAGCCGCCCGCGGACAAGGCCGACACGAGCGTACCAAGGATGCTCAGATGGCTTGGTGTGTCAGGAGCTGGTGCCGCTGTCGCCCGTGGGGGAGCTGGAGCCAGAGTACGGAGAGACGTCGTCGCCGAAGCAATAGGTCGGGCCCCAGGAGCGGAGGACGGTGCAGGTGGCTGAGGCAGCTGAGGGGGGGCTGATTCGCTGGCCGACAAAAATGATTGAGAGTCGCCCCCTGATGATCTTGCCGTTTGCTTTCGTGAGAAGAGACCCATGAACGAAGAACCGGCCAACTTCTTTCCCTTTGACAGCAACGCCTCTGACGTTGAGCCCGGGGGTGGGGGAGGAGCAGCGGCCGAGACAATGGACGCATGGGATGTGGCGTCCGTGGAAGCCGTCACCATTTCCTCTCGCTTGTCTGCGTAGTCGTCCCTTGATCCCTTCTTCTCGACTTGCTTAGAGTCGTCCTCGGCGGCCTTCTCCCTGAGCCTCCCTTTGGCTGCCACTGTCGCTCCCTCGCCCGAGCTCCGCCGTTCCAGCGCGGCAGGTTTGGGCAACAGTTGAGGGGGAGGTGCTGGTTCTGCCATTGTCGGGACCATCTTGGCCTCGAGTTTGCTGTTGAAGCTGTCCATAATGCGGTCAATGACTTCCCACCGGCGCACCGTGGCGGGCTCCGGCACGTGATCGTCATCGTCGGTGTCGATGTCGGCGTCGGTATCGGTGTCGGCGTCAGTGTCGATTTGGCTATCCGTCTTGGCTGTGAGATTGAGGGCGGACAATTCGGTAACAATGTCGTCCACTTGAACGTTCCCGCTCGATTCGGCGGCATCTTGGTCGTGGTCGTGCCTGGGACGGTCGCTGCTCTCCCCGCCGGTGCGCGTAGGGGTGTGAGGGGTCCCCATTGTCACGAACGCCCCTCAGCAGCGGGTTGCCAGGCGGGATTCGTGGGTCGACTTGGGTTGCGAATGATCTGAAAAGCTGGGCA